GTCTCTTGGAGCGTCTTGGGGGGTTCCCGGGGGCCTCCTGGACCCTCCGGGGGGGCAGTTGGGGCCGAGGACCCGAAAAGTCCGTTCGTGTACCTCGTCTGGGCCCCCTCTAGGAGCCATATTGACGGCCTCTTGGGCCGCCGCGAAGCCTCTTGAGGCCGTCTTGGGGCCGCCTTGGGGCCTTCTGGTGCCTTCTTGGGGCCGTCTTGGGGCCTCTTGGGCCGTCTTGAGGCGATCTTGGAGGCCTCTTGGGCCGTCTTGGGGCGATCTTGGGGGCCTCTTGGGCCGTCTTGGAGCGTCGGGAAACGGAAAAGGCGAGAACCCCAAAAACCTTCAAAAACTATTCAATAATCATAGATTTGTGCCTCTTTGGCGCTCTTGTGAGGCCTCTTCGAAGCCTCTTGAGGCGTCTTGGAGGCCTCTTGAGGGCCTCCTGGGCCGTCTTGGAGCTCTCTTGGACCGTCTGGAAGCCATCTTAGGGCATCTTGGAACGCTCTAGGGCGGTCGTGGAGCGCTCTTGGGCCGTCTTGGAGCCCTGGTGGCCGTCTTGGGCGCGTCTTGGTCAGATTTTTTGAGCGGAGTGGCAATTTTTCCGCAATTTTCCGGAATCCGCCAGCGAGGTGCGGGATGCGATCGGTACCCTTTAGTTAGAAATAATTATTTAAGCCCCTGAACCAACGGTGCACGCCGGAGGCGCTTCCCGTCATCCGCTGGCCCACCTCAGTTGAGGCACCGTGGACAGGTTTACCAACTAAAAGAGAACCCTGGGCCGGCGCCCTTTCCGGGAAAAACACCTGAGGAGAATCAATGATGCTGGTCGTCTCTCCTTTTCGTTTCTGGTGCGCTTTCGAGGCCTCGAGATGGCCACGAGATGGCCCAAGAGAGACCCACGAGGAGCCCAAAAGGCTTCCAAGAGGGCCCAAGCGCCCAAGAGCGGCCCACGAGCGGCCCACGAGGGCCCCAAGAGGGAACTTTATAATGGCCACAGCGCCTCCAGGCGCCAGAAGCGACCATGCCTCGAGGCAAGGGCCTGGCGGCAAAGCCAGAAACCAGCGGCACGCAGCGGATAGGCCGCCGTCGGTGTCGTCGTCGTCGTCATCATCGTCGTCGTCGTCCTCCTCGTCGTCGTCGCCGTTCAGGGTCGGTGGCACTGGCCGTAAGGCCTCTCCAACACATCTCTGCACTCAGGCGGTATAGCAGGCTGCGACGAAGGCCGCCCCGGGCTGCTCTCGGACCTGGCTGCTTCCAATTGGGGCACGCGCGAGCGCTGATGCTATATCTCCCACAATGCACTCGCAATACATGATGCTTGTTGCCTGCCTGGCTTGCAATTCTTATGAGCCACCAACATGCGCCCAAATGCTGGATGATAGACGGGCATGTTGGTTCAAACAACTACCGGCACGAGTCTGCGGATGAAGGCCTCCTGAATGGGGTCAGACTAGATGGGGTCGCCAGCCCGCGCCGCATCGCCAATCCATCGCCGATTCATCGGCGACATCGGCCACGCATCGGCTCCGTCGGCGTGGAGAAAATCTAGCTCCACATCGAGCCTTAGGTCGAGCATGTCCCCCTACAGGGTGATGTTCGGCGAAAAATCAAAAATACCCCCAAATGCTAAAAACTGGCCATGAAAATGCCCTAGAAATCGTCCCCAGAGTATTTTTTACTATTTTTAGATATTCCTCCTGTAGAGGAACGTGCCCGACTTAAATCGAGCCGCATCGCCGACGCATCGGCGATAATGCACAGGAATCCGACCCCACCTACTCTGGCCGACCGACCGTCCCAGCGTTCCTATAGGCCTACCACGAATTTGTCTTAGAACCCAAAAATGCTGGAATAACAGCACCAATCTTCTTAGAACATAGCCCCGCTGTGCTAAAACAAGACAGTCCCAGCCAGGAATGTTCCGAAATCACTTCGTTCAGACCCCGAAAGGTTCTTAGAACATTCCGTGGTAGGCCTATAGGCATGCCAGAACGCTTCGCCACTACTCGATTTTTTTGGGGGGGACCTGAAGCGAACCCCAGGGGGGAAGGCAGAGGAGGCGGCTCAGAAGGCCTCCGGCCCTGCTGCCCCTCATCCTCTCCCCCCTCCACCCTCCTCCGCCTCCACATCCTCCTCCTCCTCCTCCTCCTCCTCCTCCCTCCTCCTCCTCCTCCTCCCCTCCTCCCCCCTCCTTCCTTCCCTCCTCCCTCCCTCCTTCCTTCCCTCCCCCTCCCCCTCCTCCTCCTCCTCCTCCTCCTCCTCCTCCTCCTCCTCCTCCTCCTCCTCCGCCTCCTCCCCCGTCCTCCCCCTCCCCCTCCTCCTCCTCCGCTTCCGCCTCTCCCGTCCTCCCCCGTTTTCCTCACCTCTCGCCCCCGTGCCCGTCCTGCTCTCTTCCTCCGAGAAGCTTTCTGAAGCGGGGGCATCTCGGAAGGCCAGAGGGCCTCCAAGCCCCGCCCGCCTCCCGAGAAGGCCTTGTCACCTTGTCATTCCGTCCCTCGCTGCGCCGTCGAATCTATTTTGAAGTCGGGCCTGTCCCCCTACAGAGTTTGCTTCGACGAAAAATAAGACATACCCCAACAATGTTTGGGATATTTTTTATCTTTCGTCGAAAACCCCCCTGCAGGGGGACACGCCCGACTTCAGAGAAGGCCTGTCCCTTGTCACTCCGTCCCTCGGTGCGCCGCCGAGTCTACTTTTCGGGGAGCAGCCCTCGGGGTCTCGGGCGGCCGCTCGGGGCGGTGCGGGCCTCCCCGGAACGCTTTTCTAGGCGAGGCGCAAAGCTACCTGAAACGAAAGGACAAACAAAGCTGCATAAACATACAGGGCAGTTTTTAATACATAGGATGTTCAAAACTATAGGATGTTTAATCCATGATTGATTTATGAATAGATGCATGCGTGAACTCATCGTTGTTTTTAATGCTAAATCCCTGCATTGCTGATACATGATCCGCACGCGGAGCATGTATCAAAAACTGCCTTGGAATTTCTCTCAGCTCTGCGCGATTTTCTCAGATTGGCGCTGGGCCCCCCTTGCGGCGCCGCCCCTGGCGCTCCGCGCGGCAGGGAGGAATTGTCCAGCGGCGACCCAAGAGATCCGCGCGCCCGGCTGCGAAACTATGCCTGTGCAGCTTTGGGCGCCCCGCGCTGGAAGACCTCCGAAAAAACCGATCAAGACGCCAGAGAAACAACGTCGACATCCTAGAGGGAGAAAAAACTGTCGACGGTCCGCGCGGACTTCTCGGATCAGCGCTGGAACCCCTTCCCTGGCGCGCGGAGGGCACGAGAGGCGGCGCCGGAGGCGCCGCCAGGGGGGCCCAGGCGCAGATCCCAGAAATCCGTGCGGATCTCCAAAAAGTTGATGTTTGTGCCGTTCCCGAACGCCCGACGTCACGATCATCTCGTGCAGACACCGAAAAGTTCTTAGAGCATTCGTTGGTAGGCCTACATGTATGCCAGAACGCTTCGCCACTACTCGATGTTTTTTTGGGGGGGGCCTGAAGCGAACCCCAGGGGGGAAGGCAGAGGAGGCGGCTAAGAAGGCCTCCAGCCCTGCTGCCCCTCATCCTCTGCTGCTCCTCCCTCCCCCCTCCACCCTCCTCCTCCTCCCCCTCCTCCTCCTCCTCCTCCTCCTCCTCCTCCTCCTCCTCCGCCTCCTCCTCCTCCTCCTCCTCCTCCTCCTCCTCCTCCACCCCCGTGCCCGTCCTGCTCCTCCCCCGAGAAGCTTTCCGAATCGGGGGCCTCTCGGAAGGCCAGAGGGCCTCCAAGCCCCGCCGCCTTCCGAGAAGGCCGTGTCACCTTGTCACTCCGTCCCTGGGTGCGCCGCCGAGTCTATTTTCGGGACGCAACTCGGGTCTCGGGCGGCCTCTTCCTCCTCCTCCTCCTCCTCCTCCTCCTCCTCCTCCTCCTCCTCCTCCTCCTCCTCCTCCCCCGTCCTCCTCCTCCTCCTCCTCCCCCCGGAACGCTTTTCGGCGAGGCGCAGCTGCCTGAGACGGAAGGCCAAACAAAACTGCACAAACAGAATTTCTCTCAGCTCTGCGCGATTTTCTCAGATTGGCGCTGGGCCCCCCTTGCGGCGCCGCCCCTGGCGCTCCGCGCGGCAGGGAGGAATTGTCTAGCGGCGACCCAAGAGATCCGCGCGCCCTGCTGCGAACCTATGCTTGTGCAGCTTTGGGCGCCCCGCGCTGGAAGACCTCCGAAAAAACCGACGAGCACGCCAGAGAAACAACGTCGACATCCTGGAGGGAGAAAAAAAGTAAACTGTCGACGGTCCGCGCGGACTTCTCGGATCAGCGCTGGAACCCCTTCCCTGGCGCGCGGAGCGCACCAGTGGCGGCGCCAGAGGCGCCGCCAGGGGGGCCCAGGCGCAGATCCCAGAAATCCGTGCGGATCTCCAAAAAGTTGATGTTTGTGCCGTTCCCGAACGCCCGATGTCACGATCTCTTCATGACGACGACCCCCAGAGGTTTCGACCTATTTCCTGGGGCCGGCTTGTCATCCTGAGCCGTTGCTTGACGGCCCCGAAGCCCGGCGAGGGCCCCCAGAGACCGAACACGGCGAGACAAACCTCCCGTCTGGATTTTTCTCAGGACCCCGCGGGGGTCTGCAGTTCGCTCTTCTCCGAGATCCCCCAAACCCCCGACGTAATGATGTTTTCATTACGTCGACCCCCAGAGGTCCCGACCCGTTCCCCAGGACCTGCTTTGCATCCTGAGTCGTTTCTGGACGCTCCCGAGGCCCGGTGAATGCCCCCGGAGGCCGAAACTTAAGAGAAACCTCCCGCCATGACCCTGACCTTCCAGAGAGCAATTTTTTAGCACTGGAGACGTAAAAACCAAAAAGCACTGAACGAAACAACCTAAAACCAAGACGCAGAATAGCTCTGGGATCGGTTCTGAGGTCGGGTGCTATAGTTCTTAGCCCTCCTGGAAGGTCACGGGATTTCTTCACTGCTCGAGGGGGCCTGGGCCCCGCGAGCCCCCCGCCGGGCGGCGCCGCGCCCCGCCGGCCTCGGCAGCCCCCCGGGCGCAGAGTCGAAGCCCGCCCCGGTGAAGCCCAGGGTGCCGGGCGGCCGCGCGGGCCTCGGGGGGGGGCACGCGCCGCGCGCGGGGGGGGGAAGGCCCTCGGCGGGCCCTCGGCGAGGGCGGGGCGCGCTCGCTGCCAGCTCCAGAGGAAATAAACAGAGCAACAAGGAAGGAACAAGCAGCAGAAAACAGCAACCAGAGCGCCAGAAGCAGAGAGGTTTGGCACTCCGCGCGGCTGTATTGGAGCTGCACCAGACCTTCCTGGCGCGCGGAGCGCGGCAGGGGCGGCGCGGGAGGCGCCGCCGGGGGAGACCCAGCGCGGGTCCACGAAATCCGCGCGGACAGCCAAAAGTGTATGTTTGTGATCTATTATTTTCTTCACAATTCTGTTCCCAGAAGCCACGCCCATCGAGGATGGAGGATCAAAGTAGCGAGGCGTTCAGGGTCAGGGGCTTCTCGGCCCGCAGCGGTCGATGATCAAAGCTAATGCCCTCCCACCCCCTTCGGTAGGCTCGATTGGGGGGTCGTCTGGCCGACACGATCAAGGCTGCTGGAGATGCAAGACACGCAACAATTTTCCACTCCTGGCCGCAAGGCCCGCGGCCTCCCAACCAAGTGCATTTTCGGGTTAAGGAGGGCCTTAAATTCCCAAGCCTCGACTTGCGCCGCAGTGTGAATGAAGTGAAGGACCTGCCACGTACGCCCTGGCGCTTCCCGAGCGCTTCCAGGAGCTTCCCAGGATCGTTCAGGGCGTGTCCAGGGCGTCCTAGAGGGTCGCCACAGCGTTCCACAATTCGTCCAGAGCAACCCAGGCGTGCCCCAGAGGCTCCCAGGTGCGCCCGCGAGCGTGCAAGGCGCCTCACTCGTGTTATAACCCAGTGGCGACCATCTATGTGGCTTCTGAGGCAAAAAGCTGTTGAGTTTAGGGCGTTCTCTTCTTTAAGGACCAAGGGGAGCTTATTTTCGAGTTGCGATTCCCTCAGATGGGGGAGAAGGCAGCGCAAGGCTGCCAAGGATGTCCACTCTGGCTACCTGCTGAAGCTTCTCACAGAAGCCCTGTCCTTTCTGAACCTCATCAAGGCTATGTGATGGTTGGGCAAATGCGCAACGAGGTGCTTGAGAATCGAGGGTATTCCCCAAACATTGCTTGCACCTAGAAACTCTTAGTTCTGTTCTGAAGAACTGGGCTGGTGTGGCGGTCTGCCGGATATGTTGTCGCCGTCGCCGCCCCGTCGCCGCCCGTCGTCTGGGCCGGTGTGGCGGTCTGGCGGCTATGCTGTCGCAAATGCCGCCCCGTCGCCGCCTCGTCGCCATCTGGGCCGCCGTGGCGGTCTAACGGCTATGTTGTCGCCATCGCTGCCCCGTCACCGCCTCGTCGCCGCCCGTCGTCTGGGCCCGAGTGATGGTATAGCGGCTATGTTGTCACAGTCGCCGCCCCGTCGCCGCCTTGTCGCGGCCTCGCAAAATCCCGCCAGCCCACAGCGCTAAAGTGTTCTGATAATATAACTCTCTCTCATCTTCCGACAACCTTCCCCTGAGATGTGCCTCCCACCTCTCCCTGAGATTTGTTTTTGTTCGGGGCGGGCCGCGAATCGCTAGAGGGTCCAATAAGGCCAAGCATTGCTCCAATGGCCTCTGATGCTCCAGATGGTCTCCAAGATGGCCCAAAATTGCCGACGATGGTTCAAGATAGCTTCCGACAGACCTCCAAGAGGCCAGGCGAGGCCCACGAGGCACTTTCGAATACTTTCGGAACCCCCATCAGCCCCTCCAAAAGAAAAAGGCAAAATTACCGTGAACAAATGTACGGGGAATCAACGGTTTGCGCCAGATCTGACGAACGAGCAACACACATCCATACCCATAGGGGGGTCGTTGAGAGGAGGACTGGCTATGGGTATGGGTGCGGGTTGTCGGACCCTGGGGAACGCTCCCGTTCGAGCGGGGACCCCCATTCGACAACACGCACCCACAGCCCTCTCCGAACCCCTTGTAGGTATGGGTGTGTGTTGTTGGTTCGTCAAGATCGCCCTTTCGCTTCCGATGCCCCTCGAAGGCCCCAAGATGCCCCAAGATGCCCCACGAGAGGCCCACGAGGGGCCCGTGAGGGGCCCCGAGAGCGCCACAGAGCGGCCCACAAAAGCGGCCCAAGAGCGCCCAAGACGGCACTCCCCATTGGGAGGGGGAGGAGCATCGGGGACCTCCCCTCCCCTTTTTCTCGACGCCCTGCAAGATGTCCCAAAGAGGCCCTGCACGGCTCCCAGAAGATCCTGAAGAGAGCCCAAAAGAGCCCGAATGGGAGCCACAACCCGGGGCTACATACTCCCAAGAGGGCTCTAAGAGGCGATGTTGAGGGCTCCGTCCTCATCCTCGTTGTCCTCCCCCTCCTCCTCGTCAGCCTCGTTCTCCTCCTTGCCCTGATCGGTGTCGTGTTTTCCTCTTCCTCGTCGTCTTGGTCGTCGTCGTCGTTGCCTTCCTCCTCCTCGTCCTCCTCCTCCTCCTCCTCGTCTTCCTCCTCCTCGTCCTCACCGCGACCCCACGCGGGCCCCAGGGATGGCCCGAAGAGGCCCTCCAAGGCCACCCCTGATCTCGCAAACATCATTCTGTTCACCCGGGTCGCCCGATCTGATTCACCACATGTGTTGCTTCGTCCCTTTCCTCGTCAGCTATCACGGGCAGCGCTTGCGAATAAACTGGTGGGGATACCGAAAACGTGAAGACTTACACCACAAACGATCGCACCACAGGGATTGCACCACAAACGATTACTACTGGGAGGTGTTTAAAAGACTAGGACCTGCCCCCCATAAGGGATGTGCAGGTTACGGATGATGTCGCCCCGTCACTCGTTCCAGATATGAAACCATACCAGCCCAGCCAAACCAACATCGGCCAGCACAACCTTGTCAACTCATACTATGCGAGCGCACTCTTTTAGCATGCCTCGTCCAGCTTGCTAACAAAAACCGTTGAAGAAGAAACAGCCAAGTGCAGACGCGCGCGTGTCGCCGCGCACGCGCGCCGAAATCCGTGACCGACACTCGTTTCCGGAGGCATTTTGGAATGAAGTGCCCCAGGCAACAATTCAACTACACGTGGATGTGCAGCCCGGTTTGTCAGAAAGGTCTGCGCGCGGTCTTGCAAAGTATTATTACACCATGCGTTCCTTCCTTATGTGTACATGTATGTGTATGCATAAACATATCTACACATGTATACAGATATAGATATAGATTTATATGTATATCCTGGCGAGGGGCCCGGTCCATTCTACGCGCGCGGGAACTGTAAACAGAGCCGCTCAGTGCAGAGGAGCCCGTTCGGGAATCCCGCAAGACCTCCGAGAACCTCGCGGGAGAACGCCCGAGCAAGCTTGGCGCGTGCTGGCGCGACTCCAATCAAACACCGATGTTCAACAATGCGCGCGGCGCGGAGCACGGGGGCGGGGGCAAAGGAAGCAGGAGGAATGCTGATTCTTGAGGCGGGTGATTTTCGGCGGTGAAAAAAGCATCCCTTTAGCAAACCCCCCTGTCGCGAAAACGGCCCAGGACCGAAACCGACGGACCTGGACCCGCAAGAATGACGGCCGCGACGCCCTCTCGCGAACCGAAAACGGCCGGTTCGCCAATCGACGTGTCAGGGTAGGAGGTCTATCAACCTCCCCACACCCCCGACGTAATGATTTTTTCATTACGTCGACCCCAAAAGGTCCCGACCCGTTCCCCAGGACCGGCTTTGCATCCTGAGTAGTTTCTTGACGCTCCCGAGGGTCGGTGAGGGCTCCCGGAGGCCGAAAATTAGGAAAAACCCTCCGTCATGATTATCTTCATTGCCCGAGGGGGTCTGGGGAGGAATTCTGATTTTTCAGGCGGTGAGTTGCTCCAGCGCAGCACGCGGACGTCCAAGGCAGGAAGCCCTCTCCGGCACCACAGGGGTGAAGGGGCCCAGGGACACACGAATAAATACGCACAAATCCCAGGATTCCCCGCGTGTTTCCATATGTTATTGGTATTCGTCTTCCCCTCCACTTAGGTTTACGTCGGGCCTGTCCCCCTACAGGAGTATTTTCGACGAAAAATTCAAATGCCCCCAAAATACCCCAGGTAGGTCAAAAAATACCCCAAAAATAACCCCCAGACCATTTTTGGCCTATGTTTGGAGTATGTCTGGGGGGTGTCTTATTTTTCGTGGAAGATCCCCCTGTATGGGGACAGGCACGACTTAAACTTAGGTGCGGCAGGTTCGTGTCGTGACGACCCAGGCGTTGGTTTTTGACACCGCGTGGATCGTTCAACCTTGAACGATCGGCGGCTTTTCGATCGCCCGATCGTTCCATAGGCCGATTCTGGGCCACTGGCGGCGTTCAACCTTGAACACCCGCGGCGGGGTCGCCGCTGGTCGACACGACGTGGACCTACCGCAGGATGCCTATCAACCTCCGATGACTGCTCCAGCGCAGCACGCGGGCGTCCACGGGCAGGGGCCGGCGGCGACGGCGCCCCGAGCATCACGACCCCCATGGCTGCCTCGGGGCCTCGGCCGCGCGGAGGGCCTCCGCGCGACGTGCCACAGAGGGCACACGAACCCCGCCGCGAGGGCCGTCGGTGGGGCTCCCTGGGGGCCCCGAATCCTTTTCCTCCTCCTCCTCCTCCTCCTCCCCCTCCTCCTCCTCTCTTTCCTCCTCATCCTCCTCCTGCTCCTCCTCCTCCTGCTCCTCCTCCTCCTCCTCCTCCGCCTTCTCCTCCTCCTCCTCCTCCTCCTCCTCCTCCTTATCTCCGCCTCCTCCTCCTTCTTATCTCCGCCTCCTCCTCCTTTCTTTTCTTTGCCAAGTCATGAGGCGCACATCGGAGACGTTTTAGCCTTCTACTCCCCATCCTGGTCGTCGTCGATGTCTTTCAGGGTCTGCGGCACCGGCCGTCAGCTCTTCACAAAAACCCCGCCGCTTGCCGTTGGTGTAGTTCCCTGTGGGCCCCGGAATCGCGTGCGTGGTGTGCCGAAATGGCCGGCGCGGGGGCATGTGAAACCTGCCATTCGGGCCTACGGTAGAACTCCCCAGG